GAGCTGCCGCTGCTACAGCCTGGCTCCATTGGCAGAGGGTGGTCTAGGAGGGAGCTGGACCCCTGACAGGGTGTGAGGGGTTGTCTGGTGCCCTAGGGCACCCTTGTCCTCTGCTCCTTGAGGGACCAAGGCTGGCTTGTGCTGGCTGGTCTGTCCTAGCACTGATCCCTGCTTTGAAGAGCAGCGCAGCGTATGCTTCCCTTTGGAGCCCCTATGCTGGTGCCGTTAGGATGCGACATCCCCTCCCAAATGCTGCTGCTGTTGGGAGAGGCAGAGGAGCATGTCTCCAGAGACAGGGCTGGGAAGACAAAGCTGCCGGCAGAAACAGCAGCAGCTTCACAGATCTGCTCCTTAGTAAGACCGGCTCCCGCCATCCTTGCCCAGCCTTCCCATGGCATGTCCCACCCTCAAGAGATGCCCTGCTTTCTGGGAGACTCACCAAGTCCTGCCTGACTTCCCCTCTGCTGGTCCCAGCTCTGCTTCCAATCTGATGCATTTCTCAAGTCAGACCTGCAAGCAGAGAAAAAAAAAAAATCCCTGCCCACACATCTGTGCCCATTCTCCCCTGGAGCTTCACCCCAGGAGCCCTGCTCAGCACCAGCTTTGCTGCTGACCCCTGATCCATTCTTGCTCTGTGTTTAGCTCCCCAGGGGGCATATCCACCCCTCCTTACCAGCTCGTCTGTCTTTGCTGAGGAAACAAGAAGCAGGAGGGGCCCACCCCTGCCTCTGAGCATCAAGCACAAGCGCACATCCTCGGAGCCAGCGCCTTGGGTACCGCTCAGCCCTGAGCAGCCCAGCCTGACCAGCCCTGCTCCAGGTAATGAAAGGACAGGCTTGGGAGGGGCAAGGAGCCAGGCCACGCCGGTGGGAAGGACCTGCCGGAGGTCGGCAGGCCAGCACCCACACTAGGTCAGGTTGGCTGTGGCTTTGTCTGGACGTCTCATTCGTGGATCAGGCCCGCGAGGCCTCTTGCTTGGGCATGGGCTGGGAGAGCTGTGGGGGCTGTGGCACTGGATGGCATGCCCACAGCCAAGCACGAGGGACCCTCCCTGCACCATGGCTGTTAGACACCAGTGCCTCCAGGGCAGGGTTGTTCTGGAGTTTGCTGGGCTGTTGGAGTTGCTGAATTTGGAGAAGGGAATGACCCTGTCCCCGTCTTTCAGGCAGTGGACTTGTTTCCACTGGTGCCCTGTGGCAGAAAGATGCCCCCACACACCCCCGCCAGGCAGGGTGGCAGGCTGGGGGCTGAGGCAGTGGCTTGCACAACACAACCCTTTGCCAAAGGGGTGAGCACTGCCAGGAGCAGCCCTTGGGTGCTCTGGGATGGCGGCCTGGCCAGCTGAAGCCTCCAGGTGCCTCTAGGAAACAGCCTCATTCCAGCAGAGCTCAGCAGCATGAGGAGCATGGGGGGATGGAGGGTGCCAAGCACGTGACCCATGGCAGCTGCATCTTTCCCCTGGTGCTGGCAGCTCTTGGGGCACCTTGGAGCTGCACAGCCCATCTCCCACCTCCTGGTAACATGCTTCTCACCCCAGCCTCCATTCTATGTCCTTCTGCTTCCTGGCCACAGCCCTTCCCCTGCTGCCCCTCTCCACCCTGTCCCCAGTCCCTCCCCTTTCCAGCTCCCAGACTGATGGGGTGCTTGCTGCCCACACTGTACCATGGAGGAAGACCATGCTGCACCATGTTGCCTGACAGTGGTGGCTGCTGTTGTCCACCTGTGATTTAAGGTGGGAGGGGATGACCAGCCTGATTGCATCATAGGTGCCCTGAAAGCCATGGATCCCCTCTGCATGCCTGGCCCACACCGATCCCTCCAGGAGCCAGATCCATGTTCTGGCCGTGCCTGGGATGTCCCACCTCTCCTTCCTCGGAGGAGCAGTTTGGTAAGTGGCCAGTGGCTAGGATCAGCTCAGCTCCCACATCTGCCCATATTTATCACTTCTGGTTTTGAACTGAGCTGTAGTTGGTCCCAGCAGCTTCTCCTGCCAGCACTTCTGCTGTGACTCCCTGGCATTGACATCTCCCTGCTAGGTGCCACGACCACTACCAAAATCCCCATAAAGTTCCACTGCCTTTTGTGGGAAGCATTGTTTATGATTTCAGGTTGTTGGCAGGTCAGGGTGCAGTTTTTGGACATGGACAAGGGTGCAGCGTCCACACTGGCCCTGCCTCTCCGTGCTCCAGGGAACACCCTTCTCCCTGAGAACACTGTACAGGCGCAGAGCCCTTTTGTTAGGGGGACCTCGCTTGGATTGCTTGGTCTCGGGGCTGTGCTGAGCAGCGCCGCTGACTCCTCACACAGAGCTGCTCTGAGACAACCGGGACCCCCAACAGTGCAAGCGCACATGCTGCAGTGCTGGGGCAGAGGAGCTGGTGCCTCTGGAAGGATGCTCCAGCAGAAGGAGGTGTCTTCTGCATCCCTGTTCCACCCAAACTCCCAGCATGTGACCTGCCACCTCTGCCCTCCCTCTGCACAGGAAACCTCCCAGGCTCTCATTCTCGCTCCTCACATCCTTGCCGGCGGCTTTGGGATCAAGACACCAGAGCTATTTTAGTTTGTGTCTGACAAAGCTGAGGAGGCCTGACGATGCACTCTCCTGCTTGCAGAACAGACTGCTGCTCCGCAGGGTCCGCGCTCTCTATGACTGTGATGCTGACCGGGAAGATGAGCTGACTTTCCGCACAGGCGAGATCATTGTGGTGTCTGAAAAGGAGGACAGCAACTGGTGGGTGAGTGAACCTGTGTATTGCTGACGGGCGCTGGGATGCACATGATCCGCCCTCCATCCATCTCTTGCCTCTGTTGCACCCATTGTCATCTCCTGCGCTGCATCTGTCTCTCCATCTTCCATCTTTTCCTTGGCAACCAAAGGCAGCTGTTATGGGGCCAGTTCCTCATCCCCCTGAATGCCCCTGTGCCATGCTCACTGCTCCTTTTCCCTCTTTTCTCCCCACAGAAAGGGTGGATTGAAGGACAGCCTCATAGGCAAGGTGTCTTCCCTGCTTCCTTTGTTCATGTGCTCAATGAGTAGGAGCTGCTCCAATTCAACAAGGAAGATCTGATCAGCTGCTTAAAAGGCAATTCCCCAAGCTCCTGCCAGGCTGTCCCAGAGAAGCCCTCCGCCAGACAAAGAAAAAGAACACAGCAGCCTCCATATTCCACATATGCACTCCTGCACCAGCCACATCCCCACACAAAAACCACCACTGAGCCACCCTGCTTCCCCATACCCAGCTCCGGCCCAGCCCTGACCGTGCTGCAGTGTCGTGGTGCTCCCTGCTCTGCTGGTGCTAATGGAAATGCTGGTAGAGCAGAACAGCGCTGTGCCCCGCAGGGCTCTGAAGCTGCAAGTGGAGCTGTGCTGGAATGCACATCCCTGGGAAAGGGCCATCTGCTGAGGGCTGAGCACGCTGGGAGCTTGGAAATGCAAACGAGTGCTGTAGAGCCAGCACCATCTCGAGCCTATGCTGTCCCTAAGTCCTCCCACGCAGGTTTCACTGTTTGTGCTCCAGAAAATGTGCTCTATGGCAGCTCAGGGCATTGCTCCTTCAGTGCCTGGCCCTGCCCCCAGCAATGTTGGAGAGGCCCTTTGAGCCTGCCGCCAATAAATACCGGCTCTTTGGTGCTCTGTATTTTGCAGGGCTGTTCTAGCTTGAGTTTCTAGATCCTTCCTTTTCGCCACTCTCCCTCAGGCACCAAATCTCCTCGCAGGCATCAGGGCAAAGAGGGCTGACCTCCCCTCGGATAAAATTACTCACAATTCAGTGGCTTTTCTCCACTGGCTGTGTTTTTCCAGTTGCTGAGGCATATTTCACAGTCTTCCTATGTCCTCTCTGAGCCAAAATCTCATCCAGGGGAGCAAAAGAAATCAGCCGGTGAGGTGCTGGATGCACGAGGTTATTGAGACCTCTGTGTTACTGGTGTCAGCGTCAGCACAAGTTGAGCCATCCCAGTGGGACCCGTAGGGGCAGGAGGGCAGGTCCACTCCAGGCAGCTTCTCCCAGCCTCAGAGGAACATTACAACGATGAATTTCCTGATTTGGCCCTGGGAACATGGCCAGGGCATCTGGCTCCAGTGGGACTGGTGGCTGCCACAGTGCTGGGCTGCATGGGAGGACTGTGCTGGGACACCAGGGTGGTGGGCAGCACTGGAGAAGGGATGGCAGCCCTCATTTCACTGTGACTCTCAGCGTGACACTTTGTTCTTCTCCACGTCATGGTGCAACACTTCCTCTTCCTGTACCAGTTGTTGCAGCTTGCAACAAGCACTGGCGAGGCCACTGAACCCGGGAACATCACCTTTGCCTGGCCCTGCTTAGCAGCGCTTCCTCTGAGGAGGTGAGGGGCCCCAGGGACAGCTGGCTGGGGACTGGGGGTCACAACACCATGAGGGCGTCTTTCCTGGCTGTGGGGCTGGGGAGCTCCTGGTGGCATCCCTTGGGGCTGAGCAGGGATGGGGACAGGTCTGTGGCCACTGGGTGCAGCCGGGTGCAGCTGCCGGATGGCTGCAGCATGGTGGCTTGTGGCCAGTGGTGCTGGGCTGGGAACCCCAAGGCAAGGGCACCTCTGGGCGCAGGGCCCGGCGGGGTGTTTCAGGTGAAGACATCCTGTCCACGGAGCAGGGTCTGCACATGGGCGCAGGCAGGGAGACAGGGCTGCTCGACCCCGCCTGTCCAGAGCCCTGCCCTCCCTGGTGGCGGGCAACTGCAAAAAGCTTCATGAAATATTAACTGCACTGCCTGAGTCCCCTGACTCTGGGCTTAATGGAGCTGCTGGCACCGGCCACGCAGCCACCAGTCAGCTTGCCCCCTCCACGGGCTGTGGCTTAATAATCCCCGTGGCTCCACAAGTGCCTGAACCAGCCTGGGGGACCGCTTGCTCCAGGCCTGACTGGCACGTCAGCTGGATGCTCTTTGCCTCCATCACAGCAGATGCTTGTGACTGCTGCAGGAGGGCAAAAGCCTAAGTCACGGGGATCCGTGGCTGCCAGGAGGGAAAGCCTCGGGGGCCTTTGGGGTACCCCCAAGCTTGCAGGGTGAAGAGCTGCCGTTTTGTGGCCACTTCCTGCTCGGGAGCATCCACATCATCATTTCCGGCACTCTGGTGGTGGCTTGTTTGTGCTTCCCCTCAAGCAGAAGCGACAGTTCAGTTGCTTTTTGAAAGGGCAGGCTTGCAGGGGAGGACAACCCACTGCGGCCACCTGGGATTGTCCAAATCCCCCTGCCCCAAACTCTCGTCTGTGCTTGTTGCTCAGACCCCCCCCAAGGAGCAGCAGTTTTGCTGTCAGGTGCGTGTCCTGCAGGTCAGATTTAAGTGCAGCTGGTTGGATACCATGGCAAGCAGGTAAGTCTGTGCTGAAGGAGCCACGCAAAATGGTTAATGTGAGAAATTAAGGTGGTGCTGATCCGTGGCCTCCACATCAGCACACAGGGTTCTGGGGGAAGCACAGGGTGCTCCTGTGAGGCCAGGAGGGGGTTTCTCTCCTTCAGCTTTCCCAGTACAGAGGGGACACACACCACCACCACCCCCCCCTGCAAACCTGCTGCAGTTGCTTCTGACCCTGGGATGGCAGCTGCCCCTACATCCTTGCTCCTCACTTTCACTTTGGCCCACGGGAGCCAGGTCCCGAGAGGCTGAGCACTTCGTGAACTTCCTGAGGATGAGAAAACCCTTTTCCCTCTGACTAGGTCTACATGAGTGCTTTTAGCTGGAGAACAGAAATGTCACTTAAATATGGGTATTTAAGGAAGGTTCATGCACGCAGATGGCAGTCAGTACCCCCTGCTCCTTCCTCCTGGCAATGATTCGGTGCCCTTGAAACTGCAAAACCCCAGGGCTGCTGGGGAGGGAGCGCGTCACCGGCTGCATGGCGCCTGCGTGGGCTCGGTGGCAGCAGAGGCTGCAGGGCTCCGCTGCCCAGCGGCTGCTCTGCAACCCGGGCGTGCGTGGGGAGGAGGCAGCAGGGCTCCTGGCAGCGGAGGAGCTGCTTTGTGGGCAGGCAGTTGCCGCTCCAGAGGGGAGCTGGGGTTTGGCTCGTGGCCAGGGCAACGATACTGTGCTACTTGTTCGCAGGTCAATTTGCAGACCCCAGAAGCGTTGCAGGCAGAGAGCAGCTCCTCATACAGCATGTGCTGCTAGCTGGCCCTGCCCGGACCTAAGTACCTGCAGCAGTGCCAGAAGCAGACTGCAGCACTAAAGCCATTGAACGGTCTGAAAAGGAAGCGTACCAGGCTATTTCAGGTCCTTGCAGGGTTGGTGAGCAGCCAAGGGGTGTCCCAGGAGTCTGGGCAGGAAGGATGGGTGGGAGGGGGGGTCCTGTGGTGCCACTGCCACTGGTCTCTGTGACATCTCACTGCAGGTGGCATGAGGGATGCTGTGCCAGAGGCGCACACGGGTGGTGCTGGCTTTGTGCCTGCTGCTGGTCCTGTGGCAATGTTTCCGAGCCCCCACAGATGGCCTTGGCCCCTTCCCTTGGGCTCCCTCCCTCCTCAACACCCCTGCTGCCCGTTGCACCGCCAGCGCCAACGGCTCTGCATGGTTCAACGCCCGCTACAACACGGCCATGGGGCCTCTGCTGACGGGCACAGCCCATGAGCTCTCCGCCGATGTGGTTCAGTGGTGGGCGGG